CACTGGATAGCTGGCCAATCACAGCAGACCTCGCTTTTCAGACCGATGAGCTTTGTAAAAATCAACGCGTTTCAGAAAGGCGAGGCATAGAGGAGAAACAATAATGTACAGTATGTGGAAAATAATGTTTTTTGAACTTTAAACCGTATAAACACATTTCATTACACCAAATACACAAAATAATGTTCTTTTTAGCAACGTCATATGACCCCTTTAAAAAAATGAAGCATAGCTATACATAAACCCATATATGAAATAAAAGAATGATCAAATAAGCATGTTCTAAACTCCTGAAACATTGATGTTTCATATTTTAGAGCAGTCACTGCAATTTATGAAAGAAATCAATTAAATCTGTATGTGGGAGTGTGTGTGAAAAAAGCAGATGTAACTCCCTTTGTAATCCTTAACATTTTCATAAGTAACTGTAATTTAATTACACATTTTTTTCTCTGTAACTGTAACTGATTACAATTCCTTTTATTTTGTAATTAAATTACGTAATTCTGTTACATGTAACTAGTTACTCCCCAACACTGCACACACACACACACACACACACATACATAATATGGATAATTTAATGAAACGTGGTGTCTCGTTCAATTTGAGAAGATTTCTGCAAGATCGTAAATGTTCTATCAAATAAATATTCATTTAAGTGATAATAAATTGCACTGCGCCTTCTCGAGCTAAATCAATACATTTTAGCATATACTGGTTTAAAATAATGTCTTCAGAAAGGCAACAGTGTTGATGGTAACAGGATTATCAGTTTAATTTGATTAAACTGTAATTGAGGGAAAAAAACAACACTTGATTTGAAAAATTTATTTAACAGCTTTGTGCTTAAGGTCATACGTTCATAGGTTCTTAGAAAAATTATTTAAGTATGATTTGTAATTTAATCTTTAAATGATAATATTTTATAGAGAATTTATTTGATATTATTATAGTGTTAAAAGTAGTATTATAGTATAGTAGTATTTTACATTTTAATTTGCATTTCATTTATTATAAAAAAAATCATTGCAACAAAGTTGACAAACATAACAAAAATGAGTCAACTTATAAAATTATTATATTTTTATTGTATTTTATTGTTTTATTTTTTTGCCATAGTTTAATATGTGAAAAATATTATAGTAATGCTAGCTAAAGCTAATGCTAGCTTTTATTTACAATTACTTTTGGAAATAAATTATATTAAAAAGTAATAAAAAAAAATATTATTTAAAAAAGGGCAACAGAAAGTAAAAAAAATAAATAAATATATATATAATCCTCGTGATGACGGAGAAAAAAAAAACAAAAAAAACTAATATATATAATATATATATATATAAGTGTGTGTGTTTTAAATGCATGACACCTGTTTTGTTAAATGGCCCATATGACAGCATAAAAACGGATACAGCAACTTGCTGATTTGTTTCCAGCGGTATCTAGAAGTCCCTGCTGTTGTGTTTAACAGAGGAACAGCAGTTGCTTTCTTTCAAAGGTGCAATGTCGAAATGCTGAAAAAAAGACACCTTGACATCAGAAGGTGGTGTTGTGGGTAGAAACATGCATTTCCTCTCGTTTTAAAATGCTGCTTTCATACTCCACTGAGAAGACTGAGGATAGAGGTCAGTGGAGGGGTGTCATCTAGCCTAGGGGAGGGAAGGGTGAGTTAGCGAGCTGCGGTAAACCATGGCTTCATCACGTCTATCTCCACCCCCGTGCAGCTGTGGCGTGAGTTGGCGAGTATTCAGACACGTTTGCACAGCTCACGTCTGTGCAGTGGGCCTCAGGGCTGTTGGTTTCAGCCCTTGCTTTGGAAACAAGTCATGCCCTTGGTGCTCAGAATATGTGTGGCCTGGGTCCAAAAATGGCTTTTTACCACACCTGCTAGTGCCAATGAAAATATATGAGATGGTTTTTTTTACACAGAGATGGAGACACGCTCAGTTCATGTATGATGTTGCAAGTGACATGATCGCCTGTTTGTTACACATATGAAAGGAATAAAAATTAAATATTTAATAATATAAACAATATGTTATACTAACTAAATAAATATATAATTAAATATTGTTAATATTATTGCATCCAATAAAAATAGTATGTCATACAAAAGTTTCAATAGAGTCAGTAAGATTATTTAAAATATATATATACTGTATTTTTTTTTTATTCAGCCAGGATGCATTATATGATAGTTTTAAAAACACTGATAATGAAAAACATATTTCTTGAGCAGCAAATCAGCATATTACAATGATTTCTGAAGGACCATGTGACACTGAAGACTGGAGTAATGATGCAGAAAATTCAGCTTTACCATCAGTAAAATATTAAATTTTTAAATACATAATATTTAAAACATTATATTTTTAAATATATAAAAATATTTTTGATCAAATAAATGCAGCCTTGTTGAGCAGAAGAGACATAAAAAACAATCCAACTCAAACTTAGTGTATCATATATGAAAAAAGCCCGTTTCCGTATCTCTGAGAAGTATAATATGTGCAATACAAATATTTTGTGAGAAGTATTGGAAGTTATCCACTGCATTAATGTACTTGTCAATGTCAGTTTGCTTGGCGAGTGTCTCTTATACGTCCTGTGGTCTAACATAAACATAGTTTGTTTTATACTTGAAAATTGTCTTATACTGTCACTGTGAAGGGCTTCAGTTGCACATGATCAAAATAACTGAATTTGTGTTTTTGTTTGTGCTCCGATGTGTGTTTGTCAGGACATCGTGTCTGCTCTGGAGGATCGTCTGCGGCCCCTGGTTCAAGCTGAGCTCTCGGTGTTGGTGGACGTACTGCATCGCCCGGAGCTGCTCTTCCCTGAAAACACAGATGCCCGACAGAAATGCGAGAGCGGAGGCTTCATCTTTAAGTGAGTTTCATTTTCCCATAAACCCTCTTGAACTGAGAGGACAAAACTGTCCTAACAGTCTTCCTCTCTTTTTATGTTATGAACCAGTGACATCCATGAATATGCTTTATTGGGTGACATTAAAACACATACAGGATCATTGGAGACACTGAAGACAGGAGTAATGATGCTGAAAATTCAGCATTCCTATCATAGAAATAACTTACATTTTAAAATATATTAAAATACAAAACTTTTTCTAATTCTAATAAAATATCACAATATTAGTGTTTTTATTGTATTTTTGATCAAATAAATCCACTTCTTTGAAAGAGACTTCTTTCAAACACATATGAAACGTATGAAAAATAAATCACAGTTTTTTCCACTCACGGGCCGCATTATGCAATGGTGCAGTAGTGCTTACTGTCCTTCACCTGTCCTCGTGCTGTGAGAGGCTGTTCTCAGTCTGCCAGAGCTACAAAAGGGATTACCTGTGTGTTTGTTTGCGTGTGACGGCTTCTATGGGAATAATCCTGAGATGCAGGATTAGCTGATTCAGGAATGGAGTTACATTACAATGTTAGCATCCATTGTGCTGTCAGTGGGAGCAAAATGACAGTCTGTTAACAGCTCAGTTTTTTTTCAGTTCAAGTCAGGGTTATTTAGTTTAAAAAGGTTGACATTGTGAAGTCATTTAGCAAGCATTTTTATCAAAAGCAGTTTACGGAATATTTATTATAAGGACGGTCTTTCTGCAGTTATGTGGGGTCATTATAAAAAATAAAATAAAATTAATAATAACCATTGCAATGTTAATTGAAAGTTTGAAAGATGAATATTAATTTTGAGATCTGCTAAAGAGTACATTTATCATTATCACTTCACTCCATTTCTAATATTTTACCAGCACTTAATTAAATTAAATTAAATTACATTTTATTTTATTTTATTTTATTTATTTTTTGGCATTATTGATGGCATTATTATTTTAAATAAAATGAAATTTTATTTTATTTATTATTTGGTATTATTGATGGCATTATTATTTTAAATTAAATTTTATTTTATTTTATTTATTATTTGGCATTATTGATGGCATTATTATTTTAAATTAAATTTTATTAAATTTTATTTTATTTATTATTTGGTATTATTTATTTTATTTTATTTTATTTTATTTTATTTTGCATTATTGATGGCATTATTATTTTATATATATTTTTTAAAGGTGATATATCATGTGTCCCTGCAATGAAAGCATATAGATACTGTATCATCATCAGTTGTTATCATTATTAAAACAAACTTGTGAAACGAACTGTTTTTCTCTTTCAGATTAATAAAACACACTAAACAGCTTTTAGAGGAGAACGAGGAGCGTTTGTGTATAAAAGTTCTGCAGACGCTTCGAGAAATGATGACAAAAGACCGCGGCTATGGGGAAAAGGTAACATACACACTGTAGTTGCATAAAACAAATAACAAATATCCTTTCTGTCTTCTACAGCACTATTTTACATCTTGATGAAATTACAAGAATCCCTCGGTGTGTGTGTTACTGTATATTTGTCCATATTACCCATAAAAATAGCAAAACAGGCCTCACAGGACACATTTCACTCCGTCTTTCCACAGTACTGCCCAAAATCAAGCTCAGAAGACCATGTTAAACATCTGACATGCTGTTTTTATTAGCCTATATACTTTTATATACATAACTGCACTCAAACACACACGTGCATCTGTTCATGACTCATGTCCTCCTAACACTTAATAAAACATACTGATTTCCTAATGTGGTTTTATCAGCACTGAATGAATTAACACCCAATTAATGTCACTACCATATTTGAATGCCCAACATTTTATTATAAAGTTCTGGCTATATCCAGTTTCTGATTTGTTTTATTAGATTTTTATTGTTTTGTATTTTTAAAAAATTTAATTCTTGATTTAATTTCTATTTTATTTTATTTTATTTTGATTCATTTTTATTTTTATTAATTTTTTTATATATTATATATTTTTTTATTTTGATTTTGATTGTTTATGTTGATCGCTTTTATTTGATTTGATTTTTTATTTTTTTATTTGGTTTTAAATTGTCTTTTATTTTCATTTTTAGTTTATATTATATTGATTGTATTTTTTTTTTTGATTTTTTTTAATTCAATATATTTTATTTTATTTTTTATTTGTATATATTATTCTAGTTTATTATTTTATTTGCACTCATGAATTCATGGGGTCTTTAACTACAGATGACAAGATTTGGTCACACGTTTTTGTAGTTGGCAACTAATGCTTTGAAAGCTAACGCTAATGAATAACAATCACAATAATCTTGTGTTATGTCACTAACGAACATTGTTTGGCATTTTTTGAGCATTCTCTGATTCCTTCCTTCACAATACTAACTTTGCTGTATGCTCTTCTCTTCCAGCTAATTGCCTTTGATGATGAGCTGGATGTGGCTGAGGTTGTTTTTTATTTTTTGCCAATGTAGTCGTCCTACTTAGTGCTTGTTCTCTTTTCCTTTGAGCTTTTTGGCTGGTGTTTGTCAACGTGACTTCACCACAAACCGGCCGTTTTATTGTCTGTCCATGTGTGTTGAGGTTGCGTGCAGTTAACCTCACCTGGTAGTTTCAGTGTGTGTTCGTGTGCATGTGTTTTTACCACTGGCCTTGTTTTAGATAGCGTGTGCTGGTGAAAATGTGTGTAAGTGTATCAGCCCACCACACTTTGTTCACACTTCCTCTGTGTAGCATTAATTCAGTTTACGTTCCTGTTACATTCACTGCTGAATCACATACAACAACAGTAGCTGGTTAACAGGGACCTCACAATATATAATTGGCACTGTGAAGAACAAGTAATTACAGAGTTTTTAATAACACAGTCGCTGGTATTAATCCAGCCAAAAACACATTACGCTGAAATATAGCCAAACCCAGTTCAGGTAAGAAATTGTGGCTCATTCATCTGCATTTAAAATAATTTTTTCAGTCTTAGTTTGGGATTTCGTCATCTGACGAGCCATAAAATTGCAACTTCAACAGTTTGTTATCACTATAAATCATTTTTTATTTGAACTTTTAATGTTAGGTTTGGAAAGTAAATGCACATATTATTAGATTATTAGAGTCATCTTTCTGAAAGTGCTTGCATATAAAAATATTAGTTTAGGTTAGGTTTTTTGTTTCGATTCTGAGTCTTTGCTGGCAGTTTTCAGTTGATTGTTCACAAAAATAAAGGCATAAATAAAAAACAGCATGGCTTTCACAAACCATATTGTAAAACGCTCTGACGGATCTCTGACACATATGAATGTGTAAATGCTTTTTGAGGTTGTGGTAAAAGCAGGATCGGTTAGAAATGAAGTCTGAATGCCACAAATTAGATTTCTTAAAGGGATAGTTCACCCCAAAATTAAAATTCTGTCATTAATTACTCACCCTCATGTCGTTCCAAACCCATAAGCCCTCCGTTTATCTTCAGAACACAAATTAAGATATTTTTGATGCATTTTTTCTGACCGCTTTCTGACCCTCCCATAGACAGCAAGGGTACTACCACGATCAACGTCCAGAAACATAGCAAGGAGATCAGTAAAATAATCCATGTGACATCAGGGGTTCAACCGTAATATTACGAAGCTACGAGAATACTTTTTGTGCGCAAAAGAAAAAAAAAATCGACTTTATTCAACAATTCTAATCCTCCGCATCACCCTGTAGCGCCATTTTGGAGAGTATCCACTGAAATCAAACGGCGTATGTTGTTCTGTGTCAGCTGCACCACACGGATATGCTGTTTTCGTTCAAATCAAAGCACAAACAACGTAGAAAACGTATCTGCGTGGCGCAGCTGACACAGAACAGCATACGCTGTTTGCGTTCAGTGGATACTCTCCAAAATGGCGCTAGGGTGACGCGGCGGAATTGTTGAATAAAGTCTTAATTTGTTTTCCGAAGATGAACGAAGGTCTTACGGGTTTGGAACGACATGAGGGTGAGTAATTAATGACAGAATTTTCATTTTTGGGTGAACTAACCCTTTAAATGGATCCAAACTTACAGTGCATACACATATGCTGCAAAAAAGTTTTTTTTTTTTACTTCGTTTTTTGTCTCGTTTTCAAGTACAAATATTTAAACATTCCTAAATCAAGATCAAGATTTAAGTAAATCTTGTAAAATGTAAAATTATGATATTAAGTCTTGTTTTTCTTCAAAACAAGAAAAATATATGGCAATGGGGTCAGAAAAATACACCTTTTCCCCTTCTAATTAATATTCTGACCCTCTTGTTTTAAATCCAATTTGTCATATATATCATAATCTAATATGTAAATTTATGCAAATATCACAATGATGTCACTGAATTGGATTTTGAGTGGTAAATATTCAAACAGTTTCTTAGTCAATGGGAGATTTTCAAACTTTAATTTCAAATTTCTTAAGTATACTGTTAATTTTAAATATTTAGTGCAGTTCTGCCATGCACACACTTTAATGATGAGTAATACTGATCTTGTGGTGGCTTACCATTGACTCTTTTTATGTGAGAGGTGGGAATGTATCTGTAAATGTAAAAGTTTAAAAAGAATGTTTCTGAAGTCAGGAAGGTAGGTGGGAGTTCATACTATATTTATAGTCACTGCTCTTCTATCAGTTCCAGGGATGAAATGCGACCCTGTCTCCCCATAATAGGAAGACGTGTGTGAATGTTTTTGAACATGCATGCGGTTGTGTGACATGGCTGAACAAGAAAAATAACACAGCTGATGGCATTATTATTTGTGTATATGTGTGTGTCTCATGACAAGAGCCTCTTTGGATTTGTATAGGAGAAGTGCAAAAGGGCAATAAAGGGTGTATTTATGGGTGTTTTGGTGTTAAATTAAGGTAATCAGAAACATGTATCTCAGAAGATTAAGTAGCACCTCCTTCTGAGGAAAAAACTGAATGTCAAAGGGTAAGCTTGAGACATTTAAAAATGCAATGTGTGCTTTTTTCCAATACATTCTTACTAGTAAAAGATAAGGCTGAAGTGCTGATGGGGGCATTTCGATAAATAAGGAGACATGAGCGCTCGTGAGTAAATATCTTCCTAGGGGAAGTTCTGGGTTTGATGCAGGGTATTGACAGCATTTGTCGGGCGCTGCTGATTTTCACAGAAAATTATTTTTATTCATTCCACTTTTTTAACACACACACACAATTTTTAACATATTTTTGTTGTTTGTTTTTTTGAATGTAGGAACCCCCCCCCCCCTCATTTTATAATATAAAAATATTTTTAATACCTGTTTTTTATATATACCTGTTTTTTATATAAATTATATAATTTTATTTATAGTTATATACCTTTCTCCCCTTTAACGACACACTGTAAAAAAATGACCGTGAATTTAACGGTAAAAGACTGTAAAAATGCTACAGTAAAATCCTGTTAAATGGTTAACGGTAAATTCCCCTACTATATACGGTGAAAAACTGTATTGGACATTACATGTATTGGACATTAATTTTACGGTAGTATACCGTATTTGGAAGTGAAAAAGACCGTATAATTTACAGTGAATAACTGTAAATTGACATTCCCAGAATTCCCTGTGTTACATTTCAAATTTGATGTTTTTTTGTTGAAATAACTATGTTTCTTTTTAGTTTTTTCTTATCAGTTTTGTATATTAGGGTTGTGTGTTACACCTAATGTTGTTGAATGTTTATTGCATTATTTCAGTTTCATGTGTGTTACCATGATGGTGTTTGGTGTTTGTGTGAATGACACTGTGCACCTTCTATATATGTTATTATTTAAAAGCTGCTTGTGATAGGCTTTGGTTCATCGTGTGACTTTCTCATCACCACCTGCATTTGGTGGTTATCAGTGTATTACAAAGGTACAAAACAGATTTTAGTACTTCAATAGGTTGGTATATAATAACATTTTATCAGTTAATGAAATTACGGTATTTAACTGTAAATTTAAGTTAAAACCGTAAAACCTAAAACGTTGCTACCGTATTTTTTACGGTAAAATTCCGGCAACCACAGCTGCCGGTTTTCTACCGTAAATTTTACGGAATTTTTTTTACAGTGCAGAGCTAAATATATTTATTTATATACGATTTATATACGTATAAACGTTAAAACTAACATTACAACAAGGATACAGTCACCTGTTGTGAATCTGATGGTTATTTTGCATGTTGTTGACTGTTTTTTGATGAGTGATGAGAGGTTGTGTCCTTAGAGTCGGAGCCCTCATACACACTTACACGTGTTCACAGCACATGTGTGGAGTGACCATCCCTGCTCATAGCATACGACCTCTCCCTCTGTGTCTCTCTGTTCATCTTTATATTACATAAGAGAATGTGGCTCCTGTCACAGAGTGTAAGTGTGTGTGATGTAAGAGGGATGGGGAAGATAATATGGCTTTAGGTTGACGATGCTGCTGAGCAGGGAAGCTTATGTAATGTGAATGGAGAGAGCAGTGTGTGTGTCTCCTTCACCTGGACTGTGCTAGACAATCACAACTGCACCATGTCTGTCTCTCTCTCTCTCTCTCTCTCTCTCAGCCTTAAATGGTCTTTCTTTCTGTCATTCAGTCTTCCTTTCTTTCTCTGTCTCCTTGTCTCTCTCTCCTCATAAATTCATTATTGTTTATATTTTCATTGCCTTTACCCATCTCTCTTATGCTATGTCTCTCTTTCACTCTTTCCCTCCCCCTCTCTCTGTTTCTCGCTCTGTCAGTAGATTCAGTCAGTTCCAATAGTCAGTGTGTGTCAGTTGGGGTCTGTTGTCCTCATGTGTCCTTTGTTATCTCTGGCTCCTCCTCTGCACGTCTCCTGACGGCCATCAGGGGGAGCTGTGGGCACATCCGTCCCCGCGCGCGCCGCTGTCCCATTTTCCTCGCCTTTGTGCAGCACGATTCCTGGACTCCCGCCAGCTCGCAACCAGAGGTTACATAAGACCTGCCCTTTTTTTTTTCCCTCGTTTTTTTCCTGGAATCCAGGCTCTTTACTGTTGTGTGACCTTCTGCAATAATCGCCAATAAAAGTGCGACGGGCTGTTTACCAAGAGACGCTGGCAGTGGCAAAGACCCTCCGTTGGGCATGAGGGGTGGTCCTAAACGACGTCCTAAACCCTTGCGTTCTTTTGAGAAAGTTTCCATCTTATTAGATTGAAATGCTAAATTGAGGGCAACGAGCCTGATACCTTCAGGCCACAAGCTTTAAGACACACATTTATGCTATTGAGCTCGTCATGACAGTCAGGTTAATGACATTTTGTCGACAATGACAGTGACTGAAACGACCCCACGAAGCTTCTCACCATTGACATGCACCGCAAAGAATAAAGCTGTGACATCAGTGAATGTGCGAGCTGTTTCGTCCCCACACTCCATAAACTTGTGACACACAAACTTGTGACTTGCACTGGAAGAAAAAGTAGTCAAGAGCTCTTTCAAAAGTCAGTGTTAAATCTAATTTGGGTTTATTACCGGATGGATGGATGGATGTGCAGATGAATGGATGTGCTTTATCGATTTCTTGTGGGGAAATTCACAAGAAAGTGTTTTTATAGCATGTGATGAAAGCGTGCATTTATGGTGGCTAGAGAGGGACATTTCACATTCACACCTTGTGTTTTGCAGCAGCATTATTTTCCAGCTGAAAAATTATGTCGCAAAAAGGGAGATTCCTTACTGGTTGCAGTATTACTCACACAAACATGCGCGTGCGTCACGGTTGTTGCTAATTTAGAACCCCCCTCTTTTCCTTTGTGTTAGAATGGTTCCAGACATCATGCTCAAAATTTCCTCTTTGCATCCTTTTAGAGCAAACCAATTTTTATGAAGGCAAACGCCATTGAGTGGTTATGCTATCTAAATAATTAGTTGTCATTTTTTTTTGGTTGTTGTTAGTACGGTTCTCACACTAGTCATCCTCTTCATTGTCTCTGATGTGTTGAACAAGGAACTGTTTGCGTCCGTGCATGTCGCCTGCTTTGCTCGTTCCTTTTTGCTCTTGCACGACTTAACGTTTTGATTTCATGTGTCTTTTCTTGTCTTACTAATGCAAAATAAGCACCCATGATTGTGGAAATACTTACCCGCTCAGATCCATGTGGATTGAATGTTGTGACAGGACCAAACAAGTTGCACATACCTTTTTGAAAATCAGCCATACGCACACAAAAAAACAACTTTTTTTTCCCACACCCACCTTGGTAACACTTAACAGAGTAATATTTTTCTGTCAAGTCACGGCTTGAGAGTGCATTACATAACCATTTGAGATTGAGTATGGATTTTTAAAGCCTTTTATCGGTTATAATATAATTGTGTGCACATTTTAGCCAGTCTTCCCGCTGTGATGACCCTTTTTGATAAGAACCCAACACGTAGGATGACCCGCTGAGGTCGATCAACCCTACGCTGCCATAGATGAATATGCAGCCTTCCCAATCTGCAGACGCTTCAGTGTAGAAAAGTGTATTCTCTCGGGCTGGTTATTTTTGATGGGTCTGATGGATGCTGCATTAATGAGTTTCTAGTTGTCAAGGGCATTAACACGTTCTATCAATGCCAGAGACTAATCTGCTTTAACTAACTCATGACTTTTTATCTCCATTAGCTTGCACCCCCACCAGAACCAGAGGTCCCAGCAGAGGTGTGTCCAACACATATTCGCCCTCCCCGCCAGCCTTGGCTGGAATGTGGGAATATGGGTTGTTGCAGTCAGTAGTTGATCGTCTCATACCATATCCTTGCCTCATTGCATTGCAATAGCCTCTTTATCTCCGCTTTGAGTCATCTCTGCCCATGCAAATGGGAAAGCAAAGCCCCACGCTGGCACACAACACACTTAGATCTTAACTCTTGATTAGTTTTCCCCCTCAGTATGGAAATATGCCAATAAGCTGACCTCTTTTTGGTCTTGCTGATTAAAGCGCAACAGTTGGGATCTGGATGTCAAAACCCATTCATTTTCTCCACTGAGAAATTACCTGATAACACATGACCTTTCAAAACAAGCATACCATGAGCTCGGAGATATATGCTTCTGCAGAAGTCGCAGTTAGTGTGATTTCAGATTTTTTTGCCTTTTTTAAAATTTTCTAAGATTTATTTTTAAATAAAAGTTTACTAACCAAATTCAACCAAACCAGTGTTTACTAACCAAATTCTGGATGAAATTCTGAAGAAAGATCCTCTATGGATCTTCCAATCAGAGAGGATGCTGTTACTATGGCGACGAAAAACATGCTCAAAGAATTTCACAGTGACCTGCCTCTCCCATGAAACACTGCAAATTATGTAATCGACCCTTCGCCAGGAGTTTGATTGACAGGCCATCTGACCAATCATAACGCAGAATCTGCCATTTTGTCCGACAAACAAACCAGACAGGAGAGTAGATAAACGTCGGTGGACTTGAACTTGAAAAACGTTTTGTACTGATGTCTTTCCATGGTTGAAACAAGATACCTTCTGATTTTCATTCATGTTTATTTTGTGCTATAACCAGTAAAGAGGAAGAGATGATTGGTTCATGTGCCGCTTTAACTGAGGCGCTACAAATTATAAGTAACTTGAGTTACGTAATCAGATTACTTTTTTCAAGTAACTAGTAAAGCAACGCATTACTTTTTAATTTACAAGAAAATATCTGAGTTACTTTTCCAAATAGGTAACACCAGTTAATTTGTTTTCCCATTTATTGATTGACAGCTCTCCTGTTTTTTTTTGTTTTTTTTTATTGCTGAAGAGTGTTGAACTTTCTTCTCCTGCATCATATTCTTCATTCAATGCAGAATGGCAGCACAATTGAAAGGCTTGTTTGAGCTGCACCCTCTACTGTACAGATGTGAATTAACATTTCGTGCCGTCTGAGGCTTATTCATTTCACTTTTGGTGTGAAAGGGCTTTTTACATTTGCCAAAAGTAGAACTTTTTATATTTATAAAAAACAAAATCAAGCAAGCCCAGCCCAGATGAGTAACTAAGTAACATAATTAGTTACTTTTTTAGGGCAAAGCAATATTGTAATGCATTACTTTTAAAAAGTAACTTTCCCCAACACTGGTCACGACACATTAAAGAGCCACAAAATTATTTTATTGTTAAAATTTCTTAAAAAAACAAAGAGGACAACATTTGAAAGCTGAGACTTTGTTTCAAATCAAAAGTAACCTGCTCTGTCTTGTCTGTCAATGCGTTGTCAGTGTCCTGTTTGCTCTGCGATGTATTTTTCTCTGCATGAGAACATGATGTGTGGCGTGAGAGTGCCATGGCTTGTCGGACATAGCAACAGTAACTAAGGAGGGTGGGTCTTTGCGAAGGGTCAATTAAATCAGCTTCCCTACACTTTAAAAAAAATATTTTATTGTAATTATTAGTATGTTGAATTTAATAATACTAATAATATAACTTAAAATAACATCATAATGTATCTTTTCAACAATTTTTACATTCTACTGTCATATCTGTTTATCATTTGCAGTGATTCATGGGATGTGTAGTTTATTGCTTTATAAAAGATGTATACAGTCTTGTACTTTGTGACTTTTTCTCTGATTTATTTATTTGTCTGTGGAGAAACTGAACGAGGGAAAAACCTTCTGAAACTAAGGCTGCTGAAAAATGTCCTGTCACTGTTGTACATTTTGCATGTGCCCAAATATGTCTGTGTATATGACAGACAGGGAGAAAAAAGGCAGAAAAGCAAATCTACTGCTCTACCAAGGCAGCTGAGGGCATGGGCCGCTGTGTGTGTCAATAGTACACAGGATCCATTACATAATCTAGAGAAAAGTTTTCCGTCTCATTTCTCTCACTCATGGCTTACATTTCTAGCTTTGGCGCCCTGTGTGGTGCTTATGTAATTAACATGGTTTCATTCCCACTATTGCCGCTGTAGATGCACAACTATACAGACCGACCCAAAACAGATGGCCTGTAGAATGGGTTAGGGAAGTTTGACGCTGCCAAACAACCTTCCTGTTGAGTTGTTATTCATTAAAGGGCAGGGGATTCAAAAACAAATATTATGAAATGCATTATTTATTAGTTTTCCTGTTTTACCCCCTTTCCTACGTCCTTTGAGGGATCGTTTTAGGGTTTTATGGATAAACTAAAGCTCATGTAACTCTGCTCTGCCTGTCTGCTCACACACACACACATTCACATACACATACACACACCATGCCTCTCCTTTAACTGCATGATGTAATATGCCCCACTTTTCATGCATGTCAAAATAGTGACTAATGTTCTCAGTCTTGACCCCTTTCTTTTTTTATGCTTGTCATTTTTCTTCCCTCCTTTTTGCTTTCTGCTAACTCACGTCACTCAGGAGTTTGATCCAAACCAGCCCCAGAAGCAACTGGAGGATCAGAGAAGGGTAGGTAAAGAAACGGGGCATGTGACGCACCCCCTGGCCACTGCTTGAGCCACTCATTCTCAAACTCACCCTTCAAACCCTCCTGTCTGCTCCAAATGGGTGAAGGTTTCAGCTAAAAAACCCGGATGACTATTTTCTTTAGTTTTAGGTTTCTCTTTAGGTTTGAAGGTGGCGATTGATCCGTTTATAGGTGATAAACATCTTGATATTGTGTTTGTGTGTGTGTGTGTGTTTCCATGGACTCGGGTTTGGGGTGTTTCGAGTGAGCAGTCGAGTTATAGTTATCTGTGTAATCTCTGAATTAGGATTAGTTTTAATTGGTGTGGTGTCTTGTATCCGAGGCCTCTGGTATTATTGAGGTCAGATGCGACTAATGAAAGGGATCTAGCGTTATCAGATTCTGTCTTCCTTTCTGACCTCTTTCTGACTGTACTAATCAAACGTAACAGGACGAGGTAGGGATTGGTCTTGAGGAGCAGTTGAGTAGCATCCCACAAAGAAAAGGAATTGGGTAACTCTTTACTTGAAGTCTGTTCATGTAACACATTATTGAGAATTTCAGTATAATTACTTATACATAATTTTCAATATAATTATATAATACACCTTTAGACGGTTATAAAACATACTGCATAACTTATTCATAGTTACACCTTTGCAAAGTAAAGAATAATAAAGTAAAGTTTATGCTTTAAAAATACAGTAAAAGCTGTAATGTTGTGTAATATTATTACAAACTAAAATAATTGTTTTCCATTTTAATATATTTTAGAATATAATTTATTCCTGTGATGCAAAGCTGAATTTTCAGCATCATTACTCCAGTCTTCAGTGTCACATGATTCTTCAGATATCATTCTAATATGCTGATTTGCTGCTCCAAAAACATTTCTTATTATTATCAATGTTGAAATAAGTTGTGCTGATTATTATTTTTTTTGTGGGTAAATATCTTTTTGTATTCTTTGCTGAATAGAAAGTTAAAAAGAAAATCATTTATTAAAATAGAAATATTCTGTAACATTGTCTTTACTGTCAATTTTGACCAATTTAAGGCACCCTTCCTGAATTAACATATTAATATTAACTATTAAAATATTACTAACCCCAAACTTGAACAATGTACAAGCTTCAAGTTAATTGTTGGAAAACTGATTTTAATGTTCAAACTGTGTTAAACTGCTGCAATGTTTTGACCCCCAAACTTCATCAGGCTTTTATTTTGTCTGATGAAGACTACCGTGTCAAAATGTGATATTTACAGTTTTTTTTCTATGATTTCTTCAACTAAAATGTTATCATAAATTCTTTGTTTCTCATTGACCACCTGTGGAAGTATATGTGCGTTTCTCCATAAAAAAAGAACAATAATATAATATCGAAACTCAAAAATCAATCAATAAATCAACAACCACATTCGTGTCAAAATCTGTGTTCGTTTTCAATTATTTCTTTTTCAAATTCACCATTTGATGTCGGTCATGGTGACACATTGATGTTTGGTGATGATGAGGTATGTCATAATGCCCCTCACGTGACTCTGAACCCCTCACTGTTGCCAGGGTGAAGTTTTGAGGCAAGTTCTGGTGAACCGTTACTATGGCAACTTCAAGCCGGGAGGCAGGCGAGACAGTTTGACCAATTTCAACAACGGGCCGCTCACCCCCGGCGGGCAGACCAAGACTCCTACAGGTTTGTGCAGCACCTTAAGTTTCTTATAATAAATGGTACTAACTGGCCTTTTTATACATAGAAACCAACTTCATTTTGTAATTCTAAAGATGACTCCCTCCCCGACCACTTTTTTTCTCTATGCTACGTGTCCTATATATTCCGAGCCATTGCTGTTGCCAGGCGACAAGAACATGGCACCCACACTTCCTGTGTGAATAGCCTCCAGACACACCTGCTTAAAAAAGTCTAGCAGGTGTGTTAAAGCAGAAATGTGACCCTGGACCACAAAACCAGTCTTAAGTCGCTTGGGTATATTTTTAGCAATAGCCAAAATAAAATTGTATGTGTCAAAATTATCGATTTTTCTTTTATGCCAAAAAAATGTCTTTAGGACAAACTGACTGCAAATGATAAGAAGATTAGGTTTGGTCAGTTTGACCCTAACTTAACCAAAAGGTCATTTTCTGCTGCACGTATACACAATTTTGATTTTATTTACTGCCATTTCATGCAAAATTGGTGACACATCTCATCAAAAAGTAAGTAAGGAAGTTTTATTTATAGAGCACATTTAAAATTCAGCGTTACACTGACCAAAGTGCTGAACAAAACCAATAAACAGGAAATTCTAAAATAAAGTAAAAGGCCTGTTCAGTTTTTTTTAACACTGATTACAGTTTGATTTAGTTATAGTTCTTTACTGAATGATTCAATCTTGAGATTTGGTCATCAATTGGTTGGATTTGATTTAATGAACTGAAAAAAAGGCAGCAATTATATGAGAAATGGACCTGTATTTGGAAATAGTTATAATAATTATAATTGATTATTTTGTTCCGTATTTAATTAAATACGTTTTCAGTAATTGTGTCAACATGCACATAAAAATTCTGACTAATATAAAAATATTGTCATTTATGTCATATAAATGCATTGACCTGATTAAGCCAATATTCCAGTTTCTGGTAAGATTTGTTAATGTTCATAAAAGAACTACCATTTATCTGACCAAAAATACAGTAAAAACTAATATTGTAATTTATATTGACAGTATTATTAAAATAAATATTTAGAATATTTTTGAAATAAATATTAACATATTTAAGTAAATGTTTTTAAATAAATGTTTTAAATAATTTTTCATTTTAAAATGCATTTTATTCCTGTGATGGCGAAGCCACATTTTCATATGCTGATTTGGTGCTCGAGAAACATATTATATGACTTTATATTAAATGTTAACCTTATTATAATCAATGTTGAAAACAGTTGTGATATTTTATATTTTTGTGGAACTGTGATACACTGTTTTTGCAGGATTTTTTGATGAATAGAAAGTTAAAAAGGACAGCATTAAATGAAATGCATTTAATGTCTAAGTCTCTAGATCTTCCAGGAAAGCATCCTGCTGGCCATCGCTCTGCTGGAGGGAGGAAACCCTGTCATACAGGTGAGATGAGCTCTCACTTCTCACTTTCATTTGAGTTACCTCCTGTTTTACACATTACAAGAATAAGTTTAGCTTATTATTCTAATATTATGTTATTAATATTTATAATATCATATTTATTATTTTATATTCTACTTTTAATCTACAATATAATATCTAAATGAATATTTATTAGTATATTTATACATATCTTTTTTTATTTATTTTTATTTTATAGTAGTTTTGTTTATTTTGTTATGTTTTTGAGGGGTTGTTTTTATGCCTTACATGAGCTGAGCCTCTGTTCTGCTTTTAAAACTCTCATGTCATGTGCAAAGCCACAGTGAATTCAGATACTTGTAGTAAACAATGATGGCGTCACAGAGACGATGTGGCACTTGTGTCAGCTGAGCCAGAACAGAATGACCATGTGAACTAAAGCATATCCAGAACCATTATCTGAATTGGTGTTTTGATGCAAGGTGGGGTTTTTGCATATCTCATATCTGCATAGGAAAGCCGTGTCCTTTCCTTTGAAATGCAGGGCATCCTCCCTTGGTGCAAAACAGGAAGAGGGAAGGAGCGCATGCATTGAATTGAGATAAGAAAACACCAATAAGGTCTCTGCAGGCGGGACAGTTAGCTCGTGTCACTGAGGAGTCAGTGGGTAAACTGAAGAAAACAGAAAGAGCTTGGAGACACAAAATGAGAGAGGAACTGAAGGAGTGTATAGAGGCTATTTTCAAAAATAACAACTTTCTTTTTAATTAATATATATTTATAGTAGGTTGAACTTACTAAAGTAGGCATTATTAGTAAGTACAGTAGTGTACTATAGTATCACATGCCCTCAATTATGCTTGTCACATGACCTCTTGAAGCTGCATGTGTAATTTATTGTTGCCTATGTATCATATTGGAAACAAAAATGGGGATTTTTAATTTTTGATGTGTTTATTTTGTTTTGTTTTTAAAAGCTTCTTTATATTTGGCAGTTCAATCAAAGTCAAGTAAAAGTTTTGGAACCGAAAAATATTTTGCTTGTATCATTTTTCAATCGAGTTCAAGTTTATTCGTGTAGTGCTTTTGACAATTGTTTCAAAGCGACAAATGCATGTTTCACGTTGCAATGGCATGCTTATTCGCAATATTTAATATCACTGAAAATAAAAAAAAATAAAAGTTCACATTTAACACATTGCATTCTGGTAAACATAATTATTTTAGCATAATTGAGATACTATGGTAGTTTTTATATTTTGAATTAGTTTTTATTTTTGTATTTTCCATTTTAATTTTAATTCAAGTTAAAAGTTTAGTAATTTTTGTTTTAGTAATTAGTAATTTAGTAAAAAATATTTTTTGTCATTTTTAGTAGTTTTTTTTTTTTTAAATGTCTATATAGTTTATTTCAGTTTTAGGTTTAGTTATTTTAGTACATCAAATTAAATTTAAACTAAAATGAGAAATGTTGTTTTGTCAACTACCTAAAATAAAATAAAAAGCTTAAGGTTTTATATATTTTATTTCAGTTATTTATTTCAAGTATTATTATTGATTTTTTTTAGTTAAGAAAAATAACCCAGCTTAAAAAAATACTGCACATTTTGGCAAAAGTAGTAATCTGTATATTTTATGTGTACAGAAAAAGTGCATTGTCTGATAATATGTTATTCAGTGACACTAAGGCAAAGCGAGCGCTCAGATCGTCAATTGGAGGCAGTCCAGTTCATCTGCAGACACCCAGCCAGGGGTTTTGCGGGTGCAGTGTGGTTGCTATGGCAACCTGGCAAATTGCTAGGCTCGATGCGCGGTTGCGCATGGACGGGAAGGGTGATGCACGGCAACGGAGACAGTCAATGTCAAAGAAGGGATGGCTGTTCCGATTGTAGAGCAATTTGATTTCCCGGACTGGCAGGGCTGGTTTCTGTGCTCACGTATGTGTTTTGCGTGGGTGCTTTTGTAAATAGGCGCGTTGCATAATCAGCCCTGCTATTAGCATAGGCATTCTACTTGATGATACCCAACAGGAACACGTAGAGGCGCTCACATGACTAGATTACATAAGCCAAGCCCGTGGTGAATAATGCAGAAAACACTCTTGACAATTCGGTGTCTGTGCTAAATGGGTCAATGTGTTCTTTTCTGATTGAGAGAGACAAAAAGAGAGGAAAGTGATTGAGAGGGACACATACAGGTACACACAAAGAGATAAAAGTGTCCGTAATGACGTGAAATGCCCATAATCAGAGGAAGTAGAGCTTTGTTCTCATTAGCACTACAATGTGCCACCTTTGTTTACCTTATAAAGGTTAATGGAGTGAATATAAACTAAACCTGTCAAGAATATGCTTGGGTCATATTCCACCTCAAAATCAAATGAAAATAAGTCAAATAATTATTTTGCACGAAAATGAAACCTGTATTTAGGACTATTTTAAAAGTACTTACATAAATGCATTAAATGCATCATTTTGTTGTTGATATTTTTATAGGGACAATTCACCCAAAAATGAAAATTCTGTCATCATTTACTCACCCTCGAATTGTTTCAAACCTGTATGAGTTTATTTCTTCTGCTGAAAACAAAAGCATATCATTTGAATAATATAATATAATATGCTTTATACACCTCAAAATCAAATGAAAATAAGTCAAATAATTATTTTGCACGAAAATGAAACCTGTATTTAGGACTATTTTAAAAGTACTTACATAAATGCATTAAATGCATCATTTTGTTGTTGATATTTAAAGGGACAATTCACCCAAAACTGAAAATTCTGTCATCATTTACTCACCCTCGAATTGTTTCAAACCTGTATGAGTTTATTTCTTCTGCTGAAAACAAAAGCATATCATTTGAATAATATAATATAATATGCTTTATACAATTTTAGTCTTTATCCCAAACAAACCCAGAACAGACTAAGAAATGTATTTATTTAGTTTAACAATTTATTTAACAATCAGTACAAATAAATATAAAAAAAGAACTCAATAAACTTAAGAACATAAAATAAAGGTACCGTTTAATTAAATTAAATTAAACAATAGAAATAGTAAATTAAATAAATAAAAAAATTATTAAATATTATAAGATAAAAAAAACTGTTAAATAACACAATCAAAGATACCATAAAATTACAGTTAACAACTGTAAACACCGTTACTCCCAAGAGAGTGAATGTATCATAGAAAAATATGATTATATGGCCAGACATAGAAATATGAATATTTAATTGAATATTTTATATTTTCCAAGTGCAAATGCAACATTTAAATACCGAAGCCAATGCACTGCTTTAGTAGGATACAATGATAATTTATTACAGTCAGCATAAAGACAATACAACAATCATGATCTATAAATGCCATGTAATGATATACTGTTATTGTTTTCACATTACAGTGATCAGAATGATATTTTTCACATTATGATAATTAGAATTGAGGGTGGAAATGTGTTTAATTTCAATGAAAATAATTTTACAGTGCATAAAAAATCTATAATGGTCCTAAAATAGAATCTCTTTTTATTCTTGACACGCTATATGAGATTCACCCGCCGATTCTTTAATTCCCGATAACATGTTACAAACCTGTTGCGCTTGTCAGCATCAACCTCAGTGCATTGGGTTAGGTTGGTTAAGCATTCTTGCAGCACTAAAAGGGTTTTGTGGATAACCTGCATGACACATTTGCAACCGGTTTGCAGAGTCATTTGGGTGTCTTTTGAAGGATGTGAAGAAACCACATGAAAGAAAGAGAGAACTGGGGGTAGTCTGCACTTTAAATGTGTATGTGTGTGTGCGGGGTAACATTCTGTTGTGTTAACAGGGGATTTACTGAGTTTACTCATTGTAAATCAGCTTCTTTTAAGAGGATTTATTCTGCTGTCCTCTGCTACACCTTTCTCAGTAAATGCTCTCAGTTTGCAAGTTCCCAAACTCCAGATTCACTTCATTCTACAACATCTCTAGGCCAAAATCACCCAGAATCAAATTAAATAAACATGAAGCCTATTTTAGGTTATTTATTTATTTATTGCATTGTGACATATTATATTTTATTACATTATGTTATATATTTTATTTTATCCTATATAATGTTTTATTATTTTATATTATTAAATAATTATATCATATTTAAATTAGTAAAAAAAAAATTCTGCATCCTTTAAATAATTCTAATTAAATTAATTCTAATTAAAAATCATATTGCAGTGAAAGGTGTATGTATTAATTAAAAATAAATTAACACACAATTAAAGCAAAATTTAAATGAAATTAAAATAATGAAAATAATGTCACAATTAAAAAAATAATAATAATTCCTCAAATATGGGGAATATAATTGTAACTTCTCATTTCTATTTTGAGGTCAGATGTAACACAGACATGTTTTCAGGAGATTTCAAATATAAAAATTTGTGAATTCAGATTGTGCTTTGGAGATGCTTCTTTTCCCTAAAGCATTTTGGTAAGAACATGGTCTTGTCAAATCCTTGGAGGTTTGCTAGATCTTATCTCAAGGGTCTTGAAAGGTTAGTTGAGTCAGTAAGCGCAGCATCGTCAGCATGACATTGATAAAAGGAGCCATGTGATTGGATGACTGTACTGACTGGCCTGCTTTGGATGCAGAAGTGAAACGGGCCGAACAGCGAACCCTGGGTTTGTGGATTTGGTTTGACGTATTATGCAAAGAATGTGCAGGCAGATCAAGGAGTAATTCTAAGCGAGGATGCTCTTCCTGATGCAAGTTCTTTGGTTACTGTAACGTGAGATATTTTGGCACAGGGTTTTTCAATCCTGATTGATAGATGGTCAGGCAGGTTGATAATTGGCTTAATGCTGCAAAACTATTCTCATGAAAAGAAGAAAGATATCAACTTTAAAGCTCCTCATTAGAGCCATACAAGTGGTCTTTTGTGGCGCTGAGCGAATCTGAAACATATCAGAGGATGAATCGCATTACTTTGACTTGCATAATATGTCCTGGTTCATGCACAGAGAGGCATT